ACTGTACAAGGCTTAAATATTGATACCGTATTTGGTGCCTTTTTTTTGGTTTTCCACACGGTGTCCGGTACGTACCCAGGGAACTCAAATTCGTGGTTAAGCACGAAGAGTACTTACCACTCCATCACAACCCTTGTTGGTTGGTCTTTGGTCCCTTAATCAGAGCTTATTATTTACAGTTATTTTTCATAGGCTTAATCATGTGACAATTAAATAATCTCAATTGAGTTCATCTTAGGTGGGACTAGGAATTCTTTTCTGCTTAGGTTGATTGTATTTCTGGCTTTGTAGTTTGAGAAGAATACAAGGTTTAGTTGCTTTGAGAAGATAATTGCAGCATTGATTCTTCTTATTAGCGTTTTCACCCAAGATCCAGTGTTTATTTCTGGTTATGTAGACAACTTTTATTTTTAGTTGTGTCTTCTAGATTTGTGTGTCGAGACCAGAAATTTTGACATGAGATTGAACAATTGCTAAAAGGAATGAGATTTAGAGTGAATTTCTTAAGGAAGAGAATGTAGAATGCCTGCAGAATTGCTTAAAACCTCAATTATAGGAATTTGTTTTAATTAAATGTTCTTTATGTTGAGGTAGTAATTTTTTTCCAGATGTATTTGGAATTTGGTTTCCATCCAATGCTGTAATATTAATGTTTTGTTAGTTGGTTGCTCTAGTTCATTTTGATTCTCCATTTATTTTGACACTTTATATGTTGTGCTAAAGTCTGCTGTTGTAATTTATTAGAGCAGTTTCTTTTTTTGCTAAAAGGCAAAGGGAGATTTTTTATCCCCCTTTGTTCTGGTTGATGATTTTTGATTTCCTTGATTTGTTGTTTAGGAAGATCTGCTCCTCGTCCTGCCCCTCGAGCTGCCCCTCGTCCTGCTCCAGCCCCAGGTTAGTTTTTTTTGGTAGTCAGGCTTTTATCTCTTGGCAACTTGTGTCATTTGGTTGATGTGATTTGATCTTTCCTTCCTTTGCTCGTGCATTTTCATATTCTATCTTAATTTTTGGCAGCACATCATGCTCCTCCACCAGCTCCCATGCAAAGTAGTGGTGGTGGATCCATGCTTGGTGGTATTGGTTCTACCATAGCTCAAGGTATGAGTATATCCTGCAGTGTGTACACTTTAATGAGTTCTTCAATTATATTTTGTTGCAAATTTGCTTAAAGATGTGATTATTATGTTTTACAGGTATGGCCTTTGGTACTGGAAGTGCTGTGGCACATAGGGCTGTAGATGCTGTCATGGGTCCACGCACTATTCAACATGAAACTGTTGTTGCTGAGGCAGCAGCAGCAGCTCCGGCTGGTTCTGATGCTTGTGGTGTGCACACTAAAGCATTCCAAGATGTAAGTGTTAATTTCACTCCTTTTAACTACTATAATATGCAAATTGGAGGTTATTCTTTCAGCCTTCATGTCCGTATGATCTGTCTTGTTTTCACAAGAAGATTCTGATGATACCATTATTTGTGGTTCCAACTTGCAGTGTATTAATAGCTCTGGAAGTGACATTGGCAAGTGCCAGTTCTACATGGACATGTTGTCTGAGTGCAGGAGGAACTCAATGATGAATGCTTAAGCTTATTGGTTGGGAGTTAATAACTTTGAACTCATTCTTTAATCTGATTGTTAAAAAAAGATTGAATTATGATCAAGAACTAGCTGGGACTGATTTGGCAAGTGAATTTGGTTCTTGATATACCTTGCCTCCAATAATTATTGGGCTGAAGCCTGAAGTATTGGACTTTTATGGACCTGTCCATGATAACTGTATTTCAGTTTGCTTTTATGCTATGATTTGCTACATTTGGCTTCATTGATTACTATACCCATTGTTTAAGATAATATAATTCCAAGGTCTCGTGTGAGTATAATTTAATTGATTAACAAGCTGACATCTTCGAAAGTGTCAAGTATTGAATTTTGACTTTGCCTGTACCTGTTGAATATCCCACATTCATGTTATTATTGTCCTTCTCTTTTTCTTGGTCTGTTCCATGAAAGATTTTTGTTCAGTGCAGCTAAAGTACAACTGGGGATTAGTTTTTAACATCTAACAAAGTATTATGACTAGCTATGCGCTTTCCTTGAGGCTTTAATTCCAAATTAGTAGTCAGCCTATATTTGTATTTGAAAATTCTCACTCAGGACAACAAATCTAATAGTGATGTTATGCCGCTTTGATTTACGATCCATGGCCATTAAGCAACGAACTCAATAATCAAGAGAAGTATTTCCAAAAGCTAAACCTATCTTTCCAGATATACTTGTGACTAGGCGATGACATTTTGTTGGTTAACCGCATCTAGAGCTGTCAATATGGGTTAGCCCATTCCATCCGGGCTAACCTATACAGGCTTTGCAATTTGATGGGCCAAATCGGGTTAGCTCATTTTTTATGTGGGCCAGAAAATGGTCGATCCAGCCCACAAGTGTGTGGGCTATGGGCTTTGCCGAGCTAGTCCTCTTGTCTTAAAATTATATTTTTTATAATTTTTTAAATTAAATTATAATTTTAAAATATTATTATAAATATCGACAAGACAATATTAAATGAGGTTAGTGTTACTACTTGTTAATCAAATACACAAATGAAATTATCTATATAATATTTATTAAGTTTGATTTCAAGTAAAAACATAAATAGGTAAATAGAAATATTAACATAATTGTTTTCCAATGATCAAAATAAAAACACAAAAACTATGATAATATTCCATAGGCTATGGCCTATTAAGTGATTCCCTAGAAATTTTAGGAATTTTTTATTTTATATAGTACATATTTTATAAACATAATTTGTATTTTAATTGTAATATTTCAAACTTTAAACAAATTTTGAGTGTAGACTCCTGTTATTTTTAATACTCTATTTTATTTTTATTTTTTAATTAATTTTTATTTGGCCCACGGGCCGGCCCTATCCATATTTCTCAAGTCCACAAATCGACAGGTTTATTCAGATCGGGCTAAAAAACTCTTTTTCTTAAATGGGCTTCAAAAATCGTAGCTCAGCCCTATCAAATCCCGGGTTAGACCAGGCCGTCCCAACGGGCCTAGCCGATATTAACGGCTCTAAGTCTGCATCATTGACAATGAGAATCCTAGAGTAAAATTTAGGAGGTTTTACACTTCATAGACATTCGGCCAGGGGCGAAGGCAGCATATAATGAAGGGGTTCATCCGAACTTTCTTGGCGAAAAATATTACTATTTATACATGGTTAAAATTATTTTTTAGGTATGTATAATAGATATTGAACCCCCTTCCACTAGTTCGTGTGTTTCCTTCTTAGATTTTGAACCCGCTATTAAAATTTTCTGGCTCTGCCACTTCATTCATCCCAAGTTTGTTAACAAAACCAAACATGGTTGGCCGACAATTAGTAAAGGACTGTAATATATATATATATACACATGTTTATACATTACATTTGTGATTGCTCTACTTATGTACGTTGTTTACGTAATGTTATTTACATATTTTTGCAGAAGCTGATTTTTTCAGCATATGTTTCTAGGAAATTAAATGTGAGAATAAAAATGGAAGATTTTTTTTAGTAATCTGGCAGTAAGCAACTCAAATAATAGAGAATATATTTATACATAACAAAAAAAAGGAAGAAGCCATACTATCCTTGAAATTCACCTTTAGAAGAGTGTTGGGTTCTGAAGGTGATTAGGGCGTCATGCGAAAACTTGCAATTTGCAAATCATATGATTGATAAATTAGATGACAAATACTTATACGAAAAACTAATATTATTATATGAAAACTAATATAAAGAAAAAATATTAAAACTGTTGAGAGATTAAATCTCCCCATAAACAAAACTCACTAAACGACTACATTGTGGATTCTATTGTGTTGTGCTATGAGAATAGGGATCTTCAATTTATAGATCTCCAAATTTTTCCTCTAAGGAAAAAATAAACCAAATATAGAACATTATATTTTCCTTTCAAAAAAAGTTCAAGTATTTATGGTAATACTTGACTTTTCTTTAAAGAAATAAATAAACTTCAAATAAGAAAAGAAAATCAGGACAAAATCCTAACAAAAAGAAGGTCAAAAAAGACCAAGCCTTAAGGAGAGAAGTTGAAAAAATACGATTGGTAAAAGCTTATATGATGAAAGCCAATTTATAAAAGATGAAGGTATAATTGTTGTTGTCCAAGTTGGCTTCATTTTCCTCCGAAGCATTTGACGAATTCATGATGATTGTTTTGAATTTAGGGGCGGAATGCATGTTGCTCATGTCGACGACTTTGCGTTTAGTTGCTTCGATAGTGATCATTGCATTTTGTTTTTCCTCATAATTTAGCAATTGATGTGTCTCGACTTCACCAAAGTTTTTTCATTTGAATTTTTAAGTCGTTTCTAGGCGTCTTCTAGTTGTTCAAGAAACCGTGATTGTTTCTGCACCACACGAGTTGGTCCTCACAAATTTCATAGATTTCTTGTATTGAGAGGACAAAAGTTGTGGCCGAATCAGTGACATCAAATTTTATACCTTCTCATAAAATATAGTGAAAAAAATAACGTAATTTATACCTTGGATAAGTAGCGTAGATAGACCACATAGATTGACCTTGAGAAAATACTTTACAATCTAAAAGCATGATTAGTTCTCATTTGTTATATTACTATGAATTAACGGTCTATGTAGAATGTTAAATTTGAGGGATGATATTAATTCATTCGTTGTCATATTTTTAAGATATATGCTCGTTTTTCTTACTAATTGTTGCATTTGAATATCATATATGTAATATAACAAGCATAAAATGGACAATTAAATAAGATAAATGAAAGAGTTTGATAATTGTTCAAAATTGGAAAATAAATAAATATTGATTTTTAAAGTAAATTTAAATTTGGGGGTGAAAATCACCTGAGCTTCAGCATTGATTCGTTCAATTGAAGTCATCAGCCATTCAGATAGTGACACGTAGCGACCTTAATAAAGCATACATATCTATATGAGGGAAAAAATATTGTCAACATATCTGTGCATTTCTAGGGTTTATTGTGATCCCAAATTCTCTCTGTCTCTAGTCTAGGGGTTCGCCGCCTCTACTAAGAAATCATGGCTCGCCGAAGCTCTGGTAATAAGCATATTCCATCTACACTTGTCTTTTCATCATTTCAATGTAAATCTATCTACTTTCTAAATGTGTAGCTTTGGTTTTTAGATTAAACAGATTAGATATTCTTTTTTGTGATTGATTAAATTCTGTATTCTCTTAATACTTGCGCTACTATGCTTATGTAATGAAGAAACTGTAGATACGATAGTTGGTGCCGTAGTTGGAGCTTGTTTCCCAATTATTTATCTCATGTGTTAGTTAAATCATCTCAAGTTAGATGGATATCAGGTTGATTATATTTCTGGCTCCTGGGTGTTAAGAAGAAGACAAGCTTTAGTTACATTGAAACCTAATTGCTGTATTGATTCTTTTGCACTGTATTCACCGAAGAACCGCTGTTTGTTTGTGGTTCTGAGATATTAGTTTTATTTTTAATTGTGTCTTTCAATTTTTGTATTGGGCACGAGGCTAGAACTTTTGACATGAGATCTTCCTCAAAAAAAAAAAATGAGGCTTAGAAAATTTGAAATGAGATTTGACCATTGCCAAAAGGGACATGATACAGACTGAATTTCTTACGATAGAGTATGCAGAATTGGTTAAAAACTCAATTTTATGTATTTTCGTTAAGTGCATCATTCTTCCTGATCATTGTATAGGATTGAGGTAGTAATATATTTTCTTGCTGTCTTTATAATATGGTTGCCGACACCCAATTATGTACTGTTATTGTTGTGTTGGTTGGGCAGTTGGTTGCCCTAGTTCATCTTAATTCTCAATCAATGTTTGCATCTGTCACTTTACGTTTTGCACTGAATCTTCTGTTGTAATTTATTAGTTCCATTAGGTGCTAATGGATAAAGGAAGGGTAACTTTTTGCCCCTTTTTGTTCTGGTTGATGATATTTTATTTTCCTTGTTTTGTTATCTAGGAAGATCTGCTCGTCCTGCCCCCCGTGCTGCCCCTCGTCCTGCTCCAGGTTGGTTTTTTTGGTAGTCAGACTTTTATCTCCTGGCAAATTATTTATGTCATTGGTTTGTAGTACAGCTTCCTTCCTTTGCCTGTGCGTTTTCATATTCTCTCTCTTTCTCTTTTTTGCAGTAAACCATGCTCCTCCACCAGCTCCCATGCAAAGTAGTGGTGGTGGATCCATGCTTGGTGGTATTGGTTCTACCATAGCTCAAGGTATGAGGATATCCTGCTGTCCTGCAGTATGTAGAGAACTTAAATCATAGTTCTTCAATTATATTTTGTTTGCAAGACTCTCAACAAGAGCAAAACAGCTTTTAAAGACCTTTCTCTTTTCTTCATAAAAATGTATTTTCTTTACAAAGCTGTCCTCCAGTATGTTGAGAACTTAATAACAGTTCTTCAAGTATAATTTGTTCGCGAAGTTGCTTACAGATGTCTAGTCTGTTTCTGATTTTTATGTTTTACAGGTATGGCCTTTGGTACCGGAAGTGCTGTGGCACACAGGGCTGTAGATGCTGTCATGGGTCCACGCACCATTCAACATGAAACTGTTGCTTCTCAGGCACCTGCTACAGCTGCTCCAATGACTAGCGGTGCTGGTTCAGATGCTTGCAGTATGCACACTAAGGCATTCCATGATGTAAGTGTTAATTTCACACCTTTTAACTACTATAATTTGCAAATTGGAGGTTGTTCTTTGGTATTTATGTCAGTATGACCTGTCTTGTCTTCACAAGAAGATTCTGATGAAGCCATTGTTTGTGGTTCAACTTGCAGTGCATTAATAGCTCCGGAAGTGACATTGGCAAGTGTCAGTTCTACATGGACATGTTGTCCGAGTGCAAGAGGAACTCAATGATGAATGCCTAAGCTTTTGTTGGTTGGGTGTTACTTTTATAATGTTAAACTCATTCTTAATGGTATTGTTGGAATAACGATGGAATTCTGATCTAGGTGCATTGATTTGGCAAAGTGAATTTGGTTCTTGATATACCGTGCCTCCAATAATTATAGGCTGAAGCCTGTGAAGTATTGGACTTTTATAGACCTGTCCATGCTACTATATTTCAGTTTGCTTTTTATGCTATGATGTGCTGCCTTTGATTACTATCCAATTGTTAGAGATACGAGAACTCCAAGTTCTTCTGGCTGACATCTTTAAAAATGCCATGAAACTAGAGTATCGATTCTAGACTTGGGCTGTCTTTGTGGACTAGGGCTGCTGAGTTCCAAATTACTGCTATTGTCCTTGAGTTTTCTTATTCTGCCACTCATTTACAAGAAACTTTTTTGTTCAAGTGCAACTAAAGTATAACTCTCTTTTGCTGGTGGAATTTTATTCAAAGTACAACTTTTTGTATTGGAAATTCAACGACTCAGATGAAAAGAACCTCTCAGAATAAGGATCATGTTCAGTACCCTGTTGTAAGTGCATGTCTATTCTAAAACGACAGTATTCAGCTTCCTCTATGATTTAGCGGGTTGTTCTTAAAAGGTTTGTTAATATTCAGTCATGTGAGTGCTAAATTAGATAATTAGATGTTTGTAACAAAGATTTGGATCCCTTTTTCTATATGATGCAATATGCATCGTGTTATGTTTTAACTTGTAGCTATCCGCTGTTGTATTATTAATAATAATTGGGATGTTTCAACTTGTTTTTTATGCTATGATGTGTTGTGTTTGTGTTTCGAAAAGTGATTTGCATTGCTTTAGTGAATTGAAGTCATATGGATTTGGCTCATCTCCATTTCCTTACTCAGTTAAGAAAGCCTTGACAATGAAGTAATAGGATTTTGAGAACGATAATTTTATAGACCTTCCTTTTGGTTTCGTCGTCTCACATTGACCATCCTTTGTGATTTACTATTTGTAACAATTCTTTGAAACTATTTGTTTTTTTTATGTAAATTATATTTTGACTAATTTCTTAATTAATATTAAACTTTTGTCAATATCCTTTTTTATAAATTCTTTTAAGAAAACGTAAAATCGTCACCTTTTTTGAATTCGTGACATAAAACTTCATCTCAGTGACGAGATTCTGAATTCATTTTAGAAATTCTATAGAGATATGTTGAAATAGTTGTATGGTGTGAAGTGAAGAAGAACAGACAATTTGCCATTGAAAGATTTTGGCACATTAAACCGGCTTGATTAACTTGTTTTGTTATGCCAGTGAAGATATCTTCCCCAATTATAAACCAGTTCAAAGTTATTGTTTGTGCTAAGTTGCATTATGGGGGGAAAAAAGAGAGTCACGACTTGTATAGGTTCCTAAGGGAAAAAATAGAAAGAAAACAAACGAACAAATAAATGTAGAAAGAGTATCTATAAATTAAAGCAAAAGGGAAGAAGCTTCACATTGTTTCATCTTGTCAGTGTCAACCATAATTAATCTCAAGATAAAATCCTAGTGTTTATGGGAATTCAACCTTTTAGTTGTTTTAAAACTGTTTTTCTAGTGTTTTTATATCATGACTTGGTTTAAAATTAATTTGATGGGTTAAGTTTGGGTTGGTAGTTGGTTCTCCCACTAGCAGTAGCGGATCCAGGATTATCATTAAGGGATGTCAATGTAAAAAATATAATTATGAGGCTAGTAGGGCTAGAAAATACGACCTCAAAGAATTTTTATAACAACTTAAGCATTACACTAAACTTTTAACATGTATCAAGAGATGTCAATACTTGTATATATCTTTATTAAATCAAAATTTGACTTCTATATACAATGTAATTTCCCGATGAATGGGTATATCACTTGACACCCCTTACCCAAGGGTGGGTACGCCCCTTCCCACTGGAGGGTTAGTGTGGATGCCATTCATGATGGGTTAGGATCTTGACAACACTAACGGGTCGATTAGTAGAGTTTATAAAAATAATGCTAAATATAGTGTATTAGTAATGCTTGCATTAGAAATGTTTGTATTAGTTATACTTACATTAATTATACATAGATGATTACCTATGTTGTTATGTATTGTTTGGTTTAGTGTATTAAAAATAACGTACTTACATAAAAATAGTTATTACAAAGATATCCTTCACAATTATGGTGAAAAAGATGTAAAAAAATTTAAGGGGCAATGCTGTCTTTAACCATGCCAATGCGTGCATTAAACTCTTGCATTACTAATGCCATAGATATGAGGGGCAATGCTGTCTATAACCATGCTAATGCGTGCATTAAACTCTTGCATTACTAATACCTAGAAATCTATGGTATTAGTAATACACACATTAATACACAATACATAACATGAATATGTATATCAAATAAGATATTACTAATCCACAAAGCTAATACATGCATTATTTTTACTAATATACTCTACCAAATGATCCGTAAATTAATCTTAATACTAAAATATGATCCGTATTATATAGAACATTAAATAGTGTGATATAGATAAATTTTACAAAACATTTAATTTTATTCATTAGATTGATCAAATTTATCTTCTACCCCGTTTTTTGAATGAATATCCATCCGTGTTTTGTAGGCGAAAGTTGAAAAAGTAGTTGTAGGAACAAGTTCCTTCATGATTAAGGATTTGAAGGGACAATCAATATCTCAATATGTGAAACCAAAAAGGTGAAGGAATCGCATTAATTACTATGGTGACTCAACTTTTATACATTAGGGGATGTTAATTACAATTTGAAAAAATAAAATAAAAACTCAATGCTTTTATTTGATTGGAAACAAGGATTCAATTCCAAAGTTAGCCTTGCTTTTCCACTTTTCAACCACAACATTTACTGGGTATTTCTGTTATTAATAGAAAAAGAAACACCTATTTTGAAAACTGTTCACTTGTTTTCCCTCTTCAGAAAGTCTTGGGATCATAAAACTCCAGTTGAGCTGAGAAGAGTAAATTTTCCAGAATGGATTTTCTCAGATTTGCGCTTCCCTTGATCGATTGCCTAGCTTGGTAGATTTACTTTCTTTCTCTCTCTACGCTCCACTCCACTCCAGTTTGTGTTGTTTCGTTAAAAGATGAAAATTTTGTATGGTAGTTAAGAAGAAAGACTTAAATAAAGAAGAACTTTAGCTACAATTGAAGATTCATCAGTTTTTTTTTTTTTTATTCTACTTATTTTGCATGTATTGATACACTTGTTTTTTTGAATTTGCAGGCCGGTAGTTGCTCTGGGCTATCCTATGTAAGTTTTGATTGTTCAATTTTGTTAGTGGGTAATGGGTGTGTATTTAATTTTTACTGGTAAGTTGTTTTGTGCAACTGCAGATGTGCATCAATCCGAGCAATTGAGACTGGTTCCAAGTATCACATGAGGAAGCTCGTCATATATTGGACTATCTTTTCTTTTATTTCTCTCTTCCAACACCTATTTGACAAATTTATCCAATGGTAATGTCCTTTGTAATTATATGGAACTCTTTGAATTATTGACACTTAGCTTGTTACTAACATTATTGGGCAAACTCGAAGTCGTTAATGGTCAACAAATTTATCGTCAATGTCTTAAAATGCACTAATTTTGGTTCTCGTCTATGTTGGTAGTTATAGGTCTGTTCTTGCTTGTGTTTCTTAAATTCCCTTTCTGAGCTAGACTGCTAGAGAGTTTGTTGAAGCATTAGGGGAAAGTTGTGCACTCTATGTGGTTGAACATGAGAAACTACTCCTCTTGCATATACTGATCACTTTTCATTTACTTTGGCAGGGTTCCTCTGTGGCCACATATAAAATTAATTACCATATGTTGGTTGGTGATACCACGGTTTAACGGGGCATGTTATCTTTATGAAGTTCTAGTTCGTCCATGTTTACTGGTTAAATGGCACGATAGTATCAGTCAGCTTAATAGTTCTTGTTATGTTTATCTACGCCTTTCATGTTTGTGCTTGTCTGTCAACCTTCAAACTGTTGCCGACTGGTTTAACAAGCCAATGGAGGATCAATCTCTCAAGAATGAAACATTTCTGTCTGTGGTAGAGGGGTATCTCGAAGAAAATGGATCGGATGCTCTGGAGAAACATATTGCAAACAAGGTATGTCAGACATTACTTCAGCAAGGAGTAGACGGTTCATTACTGAATTGGAAATACACTTGTTTTAATGTACTTCAGTTAGTTATATAAAAGTTGAGACAACTACCCATTTCTGTAGCCAAAAGTTAAATTACCACCATTAAAGCAACTGTATGATTGCATATTCCACTGGATTTTATAGCAACGTCTGCTTGAGTATTGATTTTTTTCTCAACAAGTGTACTTATCATGATCTCCTGTGTGCAGTATAAGGATTATAGTTTGAAACATCATGCAGAAGAGATCAAGCCTACTGATACTAGTGACGAAGCAGGAAGGATTACCCCCAACCAGGTGCCTCACCCATTGTTCCTAGCTCCCCGTACTTAATGAAACAATTTTTAACTTCTTTTGTTGCTGCTTTATTGGGGTTTTCACCCCATAATGGTTTGAAATGTTGCATTAGCAGTTGAGTACAAGTTAAATGACTTGCATATATGTGATATCATGCACCAATTTTTGAGATTTGCGTATTTCCAGTTAATTTGTGAATGCTTTGTTTGCATAGATGTTGTGTACCTTTCAACTCTTGAACTATTGTTTGTACATGAGGAATAGGTTATTGTAATGACATTATGCAGTTATCAGTTTTCTCAAATAAAGCATTCAAGAGTCTGAATTTTCCTTTTGTTAACAACAGAAGTAATTACTTGTGTTCTTGTGTAGTGAAAAACTATTTTTGTGTTCACATGCTTTCATTCCTTGAATTCCCATAAATAACAATCATAGTACTCCTAATCAGACACAATGTGAAGGGGGTGGTCCTGTTTGGGAAGATATCACAGTGATGGAGCATATGGCAAAACATGAAGCAGCTGAGCCCAAACAGGTTATATTTCTTTACACTTGAATTTCCTTAAGTTACTTTTCTTTTGGAGTATTATATGTTCACGAGTATTCTTCTAGATACCTTGGTAGATGAAATATTAAACTAACAGCTAATTGATGATAGATGACAAGAGGAGAGCTTGAGATGAAACTTACTGTTTATGAAAATAAAAATTAGGCTCATCGACCAAGACAAAGATGGCAAATGATAATGCACACTG